CTAGGGAGGTTGCAGAATCTCCATGTCTGGAGATATTCAAGAGCAGGTTAGACAGACATCTATCAGGGATAGTCTAGACCATGCTTGGTCCTGCCATGAGGGCAGGGAACTGGATTCGATGACCTCTCAAGGTCCATTCAAATTCTAGTGTTCTATGATTCTGGGGTTCAAGAAACAACTAGATAAATTCATGGAGGTTAGGCCCATCAATACTTATTAGCCAATACGGATAGAAATGGTGTCTCTAGCCTCTGTTTGTCAGGGGCTGGAAATGGATGACAGTAGAGGGATAACTTGATGATTACCTGTTTCTGTTTACTCTCTCTGGGGTCTCTGACATTGGCCACTATAAGACAGGATATTGGGCTAGATGGACCTTTCTTCTGACCCAGTATGACCGTTCTTATGTTCTTACGTAAAATTGATTTGTAGATAACGTAATGTCAGTGTCATAACATTGTAAGAATCATTCTGGAGACATGGATACTTTCAACAGAAGACTAATAATTATTTAGATTGATATTTTTAAGTATTAAAAAGGGGAGGGAATTAAATGGAAAATAAAATATAATTCACTTTGTGTGTAATAATAGTTTGATAAACTGAAAAATGACATGACATTCAAATTTCTTCCTCAAACATACAGTACTATACTTAACAGTTTGTTACTTATTGAGAAAATATACATTGCTGTTGTAAATTAAATAAAATATGCTTAACATAAAGGTTACATAATTAAAATCTGTAAATTCCTTTCATGTATTCTAAAGTGTTACTCATGCCTATTTATATAACTAATGTTTTTCAATGCTCTCTTTCCTTTCTTTTGTTTAGTTTTCATAAAAACAGTGCTTGTTTGTTAAAAATTCCTCAGCTCTTATTCCATATTATCCTACTGGTGTTACAGACCCTCCAGACATTAAAACTGGTAGATTGCTTATTTTCTGTGGGATTATTCATAGAGTCTGGATGTTTGTCCTAAGGTTGGCAACTCCGCAGGGTTGCCAACTCTCCAGGATTGCCCTGATGTTTAATTAAATATTATGTTATGTGAGAAAACCTCTAGGAATATTTTAAACCAAAATTGATAACCCTCATTTGTCCAGGTCAAGAAAGATGACAGAACTAGGCCCGAAATGGCAACAGTTCCATTTCTACACAGTTATCCTTAATAATGAAGAATATGGTGAAAATATGGAACAGTTTGTACATTTGCTTCCAAATAGAATGTCTTTAAAGCTTTCCATGAAGTACCAGTTTATATTATTTACTCATAATGTAGCTGCATCCAGAATCCCAAGAAAGTAAGAAGGAAAGGCTGAAATTGTTAAGGGTTTGAACAATTTTTCTGGGTTTTAATTTTTCACTAATGCTTGATAAATAGCCTTAACTGTCGTAGATTTTTGTAGTTTTCTTGGGGAAAGAGAAGGGCCCTAATATTTAATTGCTTAATTATTTGAGTGGAGATAGGAACCTGTTTCCATAAGAGGAACAGTGACTCTTTTGGATTCTTTAATAAATTCTCTGTTGGATTTGAAGATGCCCAGGAAAAACAAAGTTTGAAAGTATTGTACTCGCAATGAGAGCAATCTCTCTGTTAATTCATTTGGGGTAATACCTGTTAGGGATTTGAGTACTTCCTAAGACAAATCATTTTTAATAATATTCCTCTTTTATTTTTAAAATTCAGTATGCTGAGAGGCATAACAATATCCCAGTTGTGTTAGCACATTACGTTTTGAGGGCGATGTCTCCCTTAATGATACTCACATTTTCAGGTGGACCTTTCTCTCATGTTCCCTTTGGATCAGCATCATTTTATTATGATTAGATTTAGTGATTATACAACACTTTCCATCTGCAGATCTCAAAGCACTTCACAAGCGTGGGTAGATCTCATTATTTCTATTTCACAATATGGGAAAGAGTACAGTTTATGAATTGAAATCCACCAACTCCCCACAGGAGTTTTAAATCGGGTGGCCCTGATTTAGCCTTGCAGAGAGCACAGTTGACATCTACTTCAGTTCCTAAAATTGTAAACTAGTATTGTTATTTCACACCTGTCAAATGTTAATTGTGAAGCAGGAGGAGTTCATGGCTGAGTTTCCTACTAACATGTTTTCCTGTTAATTTTCATTGCAATATAAACCCAAGTTGTTCATTCATTGTCAACTGCATGCAAGTATCTTAGGGTATGTCTACACTACAGCGCTAATTCGAACTAAGCTAATTTGAATTAGCGCAGCTAAACTTAAAAACTAGTTCTAATTAGCGTTTTGCTAATTCAAACTAGCATGTCCACACAGAGTGGACCCTGAACAGAGGTTAAGGATGGCCGGAAGCAGTGCAGGCAAGGCAGCAGATGAGGACTTAGAGCGTGGAGCTGCTGTCTCAGGCTAGCCAAGGGCTGTGCTTAAAGGGACCCGACCCCCACCCCGGACAGACAGTTCTCACAGTTCCCCACTTGCAAAGCAATCCTGGCTTGGAGTGCCCTGAGGGCCCACACGCGGAACATCACAGCACTCGGCCATCACCCCGGCTGCACTTGGCACAGGCTGCCATCCGGAGGGAGGGGGCAATCGGGGGGCTACAGGAGAGCTTCCACTCCGAGAAGCCCGCAGAGCCAGCCCAGTCCTCCCCATCGGGGCCGCATATCCCATTTCTCCCTCACCTCCTTCCACTTACCCTTCCCTAGCCCCCCTTCCTGATGTACAAAATAAAGAAAACGTGTGTTCAAAAATAGAATCTCTCTTTATTGGACAAAACTGGGGGAGACTGGGAAAAAGAGGTGGGTGAGGGGAAGAGAGAGGCTGGGGGAGGGGGGGGGCACCACAAAGATCAGGGATTTGGAACAGGTCCCATATGAAGAGAGGCTAAAGAGACTGGGACTTTTCAGCTTAGAGAAGAGGAAACGGAGGGGGGATATGATAGAGGTCTATAAAAGCACGAGTGGGGTGGAGAGGGTGCATAAAGAAAAGTTCTCCATTAGTTCCCATAATAGAAGGACTAGAGGACACCAAAGGAAAGGAATGGGTAACAGGCTTCAAACTAGTAACAGAAAGTTGTTCTTCACAAAGCAAAGAGTCAACCTGTGGAACTCCTTGCTGCAGGAGGCTGTGAAGGCTAGAACTAGAACAGAGTTTAAAGAGAAGTTGGATCAAGTCATAGAGGTTGGGTCCATGGAGTGGTATTAGTCAGGGAGTAGAAATGGTGTCCCTGCCCAAAGTTTGTGGAAGGCTGGAGATGGATGGCACGAGACAAACGGCTTGGTCACTGTCTTTGGTCCATCCCCTCCAGGGTACCTAGGGTTGGCTGCTGTCAGCAGACAGGCTACTGGACTGGATGGACTTTTGGTCTGACCCAGTACGGCCATTCTAAGCTCAGGGCTCAGGGTCGGGGGTCTCAGTGGACCACCTTGATTTTCATGCAAACCTGCTCCTGGGTGGCCAGGCTGGCAGCTCTCCTGCCCAAGACGGCCACTTTTCTGTGCCTAGTGCGGAGTTCGTGGACGAGGTCCACGATGTCTTCACTAGACCAGGCGGGGGCGGCCAGCCTGGTCCCGGGAAGAGGGGGAGGGCTGGGGGGCATCAGGTGGCTGGCTCAAGCCGTGCCAGGTGCAGGGTCTGCTGGCTGGGTGCTGGCAGGCTTGCACCTGGCATGGGCATCGTAGCCAGCCCGTGCCCCTTTAAGGGCTCCAGGGCCAGGAGGGGGGCATACGAGTTTCCCTGGTGGTGCCCAGAGTGGCCACCAGGGAAAGCTGGGGAGGGTTAGCCTCCCACTAGTTCGAATTAAGGAGCTACACAGCCCTTAATTCGAACTAGGCTTAGTCCTCGTGCAATGAGGTTTACGTAGTTCGAACTAAGCGCTCCGCTAGTTCGAATTAAGTTCGAACTAGCGGAGCGCTAGTGTAGCGCCTATTAAAGTTAATTCGAACTAACATCCAACTTTGTAGTGTAGACATACCCTTAGTGGTATAGACTATATACACGTTATTAGTGTTTCAACCATCTTCTTGGGCTTGGTTTCATTTGTTTACCTAGTTACTTAAGTGTAGTGTGTCTTTTTTCAGGTAGGCAAAACCCTTTGTGTTTCTTTCTCACTGTCTAGCTGAGGATTTTTTTTTCTTATGAGGTTTAACAGATTGTAGTTAACCAATGCATAGTAACATGATATAATTCTCAGATATATCAGTGTAGCTACGTAGAGGTTTACCAACCAGTTTTCTTATTTTGCAGTAGGTCCTTTTTTTTTAATAGTATGTTTGCAGTCTGGGTATGCAGTTAAAAAAGTTTTGTTGAATCTCATTATGTAATGCTATTCCTCTCTAATCCCGTAATCTTCCTGTAAACCTTCTTAATTTTCAACCCTCCAGTATTCTTTGTTGCAAAACACAAAATTTCTCTCTTTAGGAATTAGTTAATTTAGCCTAAATTAATACTTTTGTAGGAGTATTATTCAGTAGTTGTTTGTTCTCCATGCTTTTATTTCATTCCCAACTAAATAAGCTGTGTGTGACCATCTATGATGCGCTACTCTGTGGCTGTCCTTTGATACATATATATAGCCCACTAAAAGTTAAAGAATTCATAGAGAAGGTCCAGAAATAAGCCTTGTATTGACTATAAATTGATGTAAATTTGCAAGAAAATCATGTTTTTCTTCTTGGTACCTATTGTTTCATAGAGAAGGGAAATATTTTGCAGTTGGGAAAGGTTTGCCCAATTTTTTTACAGATTCAATGACTGATAAAATTAACTAACCATACCATACATTTAGAATAGTGGAGCATACCCTGAACACTTGTCCTTCATACTGCATTCAAAACATATATCGAACATATTAATTTTGATTAATACTGACACAAATTTTAAAGTAGGTAAAAAGAAAACAAATGTATGGACATATCAGAAGACCATAAATATTGGAAATACAATATATTCTTCATACATAGGCCCACTACTTATAGCTCTCTTTCTCTACCATCTTTCTTGTTACAGGTTTTTCATTATTCTTATACAGCTTCATATGTGATTTATAACATACATACAAGGTAAGATTTTTTTTCAATGCAATATGATTAAGTTTCAATATATAAAAAAATGCAGTGATGTTAATGTGTGCAAGTAAAAATGTTTACATTTTTTTCAAGGGAAGTTTGGGAGTTAAACCCTCCAGAAGTAGAGGATTCAGTTTTACAGTATGCGGCATGGGGCGTACAAGGAGAGCAACTGGTAAGAACAGTCATTTAAAATGCTATGTTTAAAATAGCATTGTAATATATTGTGTTAACACTCTCGTCCAGACAGACTATTGACCAAAAAAAAAGAAAAAAGAAAAAAGAAAGAAACCAAAACCCCATACCATAAAGAGAAGTTTCTGTTATTAGAGATTTATTCAGTTTTAGGATTTCAAAGTCTGCAAGGTCTTGTCTTATTATTGGTTTCTTGTCTTATTATTGGTTTTGGCCCTGATTCATATATATATGTTTCCTATTCAGCCAATCTCTTAAATATGTGCATATGGGTGAACTTAAGTATGTTTTTAAAGGTAAAGTAACTTACTTAAATAATTTGTTTAATCACAGTCTTTTTGCCAGGCACTATGAGAGAACTGGAGTTGCAGATGGAAACAAAAATTTCAGGTGCAAAATTTGTGAAAATCTTGGGTAAATATAACACGTTTGGCATCCAGAATGGATCTCACAAACAAGATGAAAAATGTGTTGGTTTCAGTTTCTGTGTGAAAATTATTGTAAATGTCAGTTGAAATCCGTAATAACAACAAAACTTTGCACTTCTGTATTTCCTTTCATCGAAGAATCTTAATGAGTTTTATAAATAAGTATTAAATTTACAAAATCCCATGAAGTAAGCAAAGAAATAAAACCCCGATTCAAAAAATAGCATTGATGTTTATATTTTTGGGTCTCTTATGTGACTGGCTGCATAAAGGTGGAAAGTTTAAGGGGATTACGGAAAACTTAATTCTCAGAATGGAGAAATCACACAGTCCTAGTCTCTCAATTATCCAAAAGTCTTGAGCCTGCAGCCCTTCAGTGAGAATTCTACATGCAGGGTCGTTATAAGTTGCCCACTTGGTGAGAATAACCTGTTGTTTGTGTCATTAATCAATATGGTGGGAATGGAGACTGTGCCTCTGGTTGGGATCCATTGCATTAAGCACAGCGGGGTGCGACGCCAACAGTAATTACATTCATCTGGAACATGCTTGGCATTCTTTAATAATTAACCACACTAATTCATCATTAACCATTGCATAGTGACAAGACTGACGATAACAAATACATAAATTATTTACTAAGCACGGCACTATGCACATGCTTGGCAGGGAGGTAATGTGTGTCTAAAACTTGCAAGGAATTAAGATTGTGGGGCTTTTTTAAGTGCAATGCAAAGGAGATTTCCAGAGCTGCACTGTACAGAAGGTTAATGTGTTAAAGCACAACCAAAAAACCTGTAGATGACAACAACTATAAATCAATGTTGTGTGTTATTAAAATATATCAAAAAGAGAGTGGCACATTTAAAAATTGAGAGTTGAAAAGAAACAACACAAAATATATTTTGCTTAGCTTGTCGCTGAAAAAAGGACCAACATTTTCAAACATGGCTCCCAAATAGGCTTCTTTGGGAGCCATATGAGTTTCTGCACCTCTGAGAATTAGGCCACTTATGTAAGTGCCTAAACATAGTTTTAGATGCCTAACTTTAATCACCCAAGTTTGAAAATATTGGCCATATTTTATAATGCAATAAAGATTACATTAACCACCTCAGATAATGTCCATTACAAAGTGAATGTGCTTTCTAAATGTCTTCAGTACTGTGGCCTTTATGCTACCATATGGTCTGCAGAATTAGAAGAGAAGAAAAACATCCTGTATGCTGCCCAAATTGCACCAAGTATTATTTCCCAGCTGCAAAGCCACATTAGCAAAACATTTCAATGCTTTTCAACAAGAAAGAAATTAGTTTTGCAGCTAGGCATGCTGGGAGAAGGCACAAAAATGGTGCATACCCAAAAAAGAAAAGGCGATGCCATAACTGTCCCATACCTACCTGCTCCCCAGGCATCCCTAGACAATATAAAAAGGAGGAGGAGCATGTGTGCATAAACTGTTGTTGCTGCTGTGAGCAGTAAGAGCTTCCTCTTTAGTGGAGGAAGGTGGACCCAGATAATTTAGTAGAGCAAATTATAGGGGAGTCTGTCCTATTAAAGCCATGTGGTACATGGTGATTCCAGTTATTAGCATTTTTCTTTGTGCCAGCATCAGGGGCACTGTATCAGTGGGCTGCCAGACCAAAGATGTCATGAAAAGCAGGTACCAGAAATAACAGATAAACAGAGTACAGCCAAATATCTGCTTGTGATGCAGAGCTGCTGCTATTAGTAGTAGCCACACAAAATGTGTTTGTATTCACATAACCAATTAATGCAAATGGTGGAGACTCGGGTTGCCAAATATGCCATTGATAAGGCATCCCAGTGTCTCTCTATATATTAAAAGATCCACCTGCTCTACATACTAATTCATACTGAATAAAAGAATGCATATGAAAAACCCCACATCATGATGACTCATTGCCCCCCCATAGCCATGCAGAATCACTATAGCTGCAAATTACCCACTATCAACAGGGATACACACTGAAAAATGGTGAGGAACAATGTTACAAACATATGTAGACCAAAAATCACACACAAGACCCAGCAGTCTACACAAACCTGCATCCATTGAACAGGAGCTAGACTAGTAGGGAGGTGTTTATGGCCTTCAATTCTAAGAGGTTCATCATCCATCCAGATGCAATACACAACATGCATTAATGCATGTCCATGATCAGCCAGGTAGCATGCAAGAACAACAATAGGCGTGTGCTTACCACAAACCTGTGCTTGACTGTGAGTAAGCCAAAGAATCAGGGTTAAATCAAAGTGAAATGTGGGAGTTAGATGATCCAAGAGTATCTGTTCTGTATGAACTGGCCATGAGGTATGTTAACATGTTGCTGTTCTTTTTGTTATTTAACTACCAGCAATGCACTTGGTTCTGTACAAGATAAAAATAACATAAGCCGTGTAAGAATCTAAAGTTTCAGTCAGCAAGGGAATGGAAGTCAGTAGAGGCTTCAAATAGGGAAGAAACATTGTCCAACCGAGGAATTGTATACTAGGCTAGGAATAGCTTATTGTACTAAAGAATGTGGCCACAGTGAATTCATACTTTCAGTACCACCCCACGACCTTGTGAAAATAATACAGGGAGGCTCAGATAGTGATGTTTACTATTTCTAGGATTGCTTAAGGGATTAGCATGCCACATGCTGCTAGTGCAGAATGCCAAGGTTAGGTTTTTATCAGCAGTGAGATAATTGGATCAACTTGCCATTGTTTTGAAGTTGCTGCAGTGGCTGCTTCTTTAGTTGTGAGTTATTTCAGTTTCTTGTTATTTACCTAGAGTACATTATTTTATACAGACAAGGGTAAGAGCTCAGAGGAACAGCTCTTGTTTAAGTTGTGACAGTTTTGTGGTAAACTTGAAAAAGTTTGCAAACAATTAGGGGGAAGTAAACTTTTATCTGATAAATTAATGTGCATTAATATCATATAGCCATTCACTTGGTCTAGCTGCTTTATTTAAGACAGAAGGCAGCACAGGAAATAGTCTATGCAACTGGGTGAATTCAGGACTGGTTGCTTTGCTGGATTCTGCCTTCTCACATGACTCCTGAGTCTTGCTCTCTTGTCTTATTTCTGCTTTCCTGACCCATTCTTGGTTCTTGCCAAGGATCCCTGCTCCTGGTCTTCAACATCAATCTCTTATTCTGGCTCTGACACTTGCTTCAACACCTGACACATGCTCCAAGCCTCAGTCATGACATAGGGTCTACGCATACCAGTTACTGAGCAACATCTTAATGTGCTTTAGAAATAACACTGTAGTGCACATTACTGATCCATGTAGACAAGCCTACATCCCTTTCACAATTCAGCCTATGGCTTCTAGAGTATTATCAGTTCTATCTGAATGGTATAACCTTTTTTCTGCCATGCCTCTGTAGATTTGGACTGTTCTTCCAATTAGTTATTACATTGGTTTCCTCTTAGCTCCCTCTTGGATGCATTTGGAAATTGTTTAATTTAACAGCTATTTGATAGAGTCTAATATATTTTATCTATATACAAATATGTAGATATCTAACACATTTTATCCAAAGCACACAAAAGCATCTTTTTGCGTTGGATTCCGGAGTCAGCTTATTTTTTGTGACTTTTTTTTTCTGTATTGGTAAATATATGCTAGATTTTTCTTTGGGCTTATTATAGATATTTATGCTATTGATTACATTGATAAGGTCATTATTCTCATGATAGTAAGTGGTTTTGAAGAGATCTTGAGTTATATATTCAGAAAAGATCATAAAAATAAAGGTACATTTAACTATGAACACATAAACAAATATATACATTAAAATACCAGAAATAAAGAAAATAGTTTGGTATTCAGAAAGTAAAAGTGACTGTTTTGAAGAAACTTAATAATTTTCTATCAGAAAGGATGCTCTTAGCAAAATCCAGATTATCAAATGCTATGATTGGAGAGGAGCTGTTGTTTTGCTTAAAGGTAATTCAAGTCATCAGTAATAAAAAATCCATTATCTTGTGTGAAGAGAGAACAATTTCTTGCCTGTATAGTAATTCTGTATTCAGCTTTGTCTCTTTGAATATTTAGAAAATATTCTAAATATTAGAAAACTGAAAAAAATTGCCCTCTCAATCATCAAGATGTAAGAGGGTTCCCAATGTGAATAGGCCCAATATGCCTGAGATTTTACTTTAAAAACAAAACCCAAACAGCTCATTCTATTTTCATGGACCTTTGTAGCACTTTCAAAGCCAACTGCCTCTCTGCTCTGTTCACCTGGGTTTGTCCTTGATGTAATGCATGCAAGTTTATTTTTTCTTCCTGCCTGACAGTGATTTGCATCTATCTGCTGCCATGGTACAAAACTCGTAGGTCTGTCAATTATTCTTTGTGTCATTGTATTAATGTGAGAGATTCTTTATAATTTCCTTTCTCCACAGGATTTGAGCTCTCACTGTGACTGCTAAAAGCATTTTTTCTACACAATACAAAGCACCATTTCAGTCAAGTCTACTGAAATTGTATCTATTTTCAGTTATGATCCTGAAGCCTGTTCCTGACTTT